AGCGGGCACTTGTAATCCCAGCTACTCAAGAGGTGGAGGCAGGAGAATCACTTGAATTCGAGAGGTGGAGGCTGCGGTGAGCTCAGATGGTGCTGCTACACTCTAGCCTGGGTGACAGAGTAAGACCCTGGCCAAAAAACAAAAAACAAAACCAAAAACTTCTGTGTTTCAAAGGACACTACCAAGAAAGCACAGCAAACAGAATGGGAGAAAGTATGTGCAAATCATGTATCCAGAGTATATAGGAAGAATATTTATAATTCAATAATAAAAAGACAGACTGGGTACAGTGTGGTGGCTCACACCTATAATCCCAGCACTTTGGGAGATTGAGGCAAGGATTGCTTGAGCCCAGGAGTTCAAGACCAGCCTGGGCGACACAGTAAGACCCTGATTCTAGTAAAATATAATTTTTAAGACAATAACTTAATTTTTTTTTTTGAGACGAGTTTCACTCTTCTTATCCAGACTGAAATGCAGTGACACGATCTTGGCTCATGCAACCGCTGCCTCCTGGGTTCAAGCAATTCTCCTGCCTCAGCCTCCTGAATAGCTGGGATTACAGATGCCTACCACCATGCCTGGCTAATTTTTTATATTTTTAGTAGAGACAGGTTTCATCAGGTTGGCCAGGCTACTCTCGAACTCCTGACCTCAGGTGATCCACCCACCTTGGCCTCCTAAAGTACAGGGATTACAGGTGTGAGCCACCATGCACAGCCACAATAACTTAATTTTTAAAATAGCAAAAGATCTGATTTTTAGAGAAAAATTTTTTTTAGAGAAAAGGATTTAATTTTTAAGATAAAAAGATTGTTTAGAGAAAGTTATTTCTCTGAAAAAAATATACATGAATAGACAATAAGTACATGAAAGTACTCTCAATGTCATTAGCCATTAGACCAAGTATAAATCACAATCACAGTGCGATACTCCTTCATACACACTAGGATGGCTATAATCAAAGGCAGACAATCACAAATGCTGGTGAGCACATGGAGAAATTGAACCCTCATACATTAGTGGTAGGAACGTGAAATGGTACATCACTGTGGAAAACAGTTTTGCGGTTTCTCAAAAAGTTTGTCCTGTGCTGATCAGTAGTAGGATCATACTCTGAACAGCTAGCCACTGCACTCCAGCCTGGGCAACATAGTAATACCCTGCCTCTAAAAAAAAGAAAAAAAGGGCAGGGTGCAGTGGTGCACGCCTTTGATCCCAGCACTTTGGGAAGCTGAGGCAGGCAGATCACAAGGTCAGGAGTTCAAGACCAGCCTGACCAACATTGTGGAACTCCGTCTCTACTAAAAATACAAAAAATTAGCTGGGCATGGTGGCGCACACCTGTAATTCCAGCTACTCAGAGAATCACTTGAACCTGGAAGGCAGAGATTGCAGTGAGCCGAGATCATACCACTGCACTCCAGCCTGGGCGACAAGAGCAAGACTCCATCTCAAAAAAAAAAAAAAAAACAAAGAAAAGAAAAAGAAGTTAAGTGCAGTGGTTCACCCCAATAATCCCAGCACTTTGGGAGGTCAAAGTGGGTGGATCACTTGAGGCCAGGAGTTTGAGACCACCCTGGGTAACTTAGTGAGACCTCATCTTTACAAAAAATTTAAAAAATTAGCTGGGTGTGGTGGCATATGCCTATGGTCCCAGCTACTTAGGAGGCTGAGGTGGGAGCATTGCTTGAGCCCAGGAGGTCGAGGCTGCAGCAAGCCAAGATGACACGATTGCACTAGGTGACAGAGCAAGGCTCCATCTCAAAGAAAGAAAGAAAGAAAATGTGCTTATTCAGCTTTTTGTGCTGGTAGCATGACAAAGGGGAGAAGAAAAAGAAAATGTGCTAGGCTGAGCATGGTGGCTCACGCCTGTAATCCCAGCACTTTGGGAGGCTAAAGTGAGCAGGTCAAGAGTTTGACCAGCCTGGCCAACATGGGGAAACACTGTCTCTACTACAAATACAACAATTAGCAAGGTGTGGTGGCACGCTCCTATAGTCCCAGCTACTCAGGGGGCTAAGGCAAGAGACTCCATCTTTTTTTTTTTTAAAGATGGGGTTTCACCATAATGGCCAGGCTGGTCTTGAACTCCCTGGGATTACAGGCATGAGCCACAAGGAGTCTCCATCTAAAAACAAAAAGGAAAACACGCTGGGTACAGTGGCTCACACTTGTAATCCTAGCACTTTGGGAGGCCAAGGCAGGCAGATCACCTGAGGTCAGAAGTTCGAGACTAGCCTGGCCTACATGGTGAAACCCCATCTATACAAAAATACAAAAATTAGCCGGGCTTGAGGGTAGGTGCCTGTAATCCCAGCTACTAAGGAGGTGGAGGTGGGAGAATCACTTGAACCTGGGAGGCAGAGGTTGCAGTAAGCCAGGATCATGACATTGCTCTCCAGTGTGGGTGACAGAGCTAGACTCTGTCAAGAAAGAAAGAAAGAAAGAAGGAAGGAAGGAAGGAAGGAAGGAAGGAAGGAAGGAAGGAAGGAAGGAAGGAAGGAAGGAAGGAAGGAAGGAGAGAAAGAAAAGAAAGAAGGGAGGGAGGGAGGGAAGGAGGGAGGGAGGAAAGAAAGAAAGTGTTCTAAAATTGACTGTGGTGATGGTTGCACAGCTTTGTAGCTTTGTGTAAATACTAAAAACCACTGAACAGTGCACTCTAAGGGGATGAATCGTATGTGAATTACATCTCAATAAAGTTGTCTAAAAAAATGTCCAGTGGAGCAGACATTTGGGTGTGTCACCCTCACAATTGAGGATGTAGAAGGATAAATAAGCGGGGAATGATTGGGCCACAGGTGGGGTTGAGTGAGGTCTCATTGGAGAGACACTGGGAGATAAGTGGGTGCAGGCAGAATCAGGTCCTCAGGCCTTTCCATATTAAAGGGTGAGAAGGGAGGGGGAATTCAGGAAAGAAGGCTGAGTGGAAGCAGCCAATGGGGTAAGAGAAACCCACGAAGATGTGGACTAGCCGAGGCCAAGAGAGGAGCGTGTTTGAGGAAGGCGGAGGAGTCAAGTGTGTCTAAAGCCAGTCAGCGACCAGGAGGGGACAGGCAGAAAGCAATGCCAACCCCAGGCTGCCCTGCACCATGGGCAAAAAGTGAATGGTGGGCCCACTGAGGTCTCCTCCAGCAGCAAGGAGTGTCAAGCACACCAGGGACATCTCTGCTCTTCTACTCTGCCTAAGTGACCTAAGGAAGGGCATTATGCCTGCTTCCTCAACTCCCAAATGCAGATCCTGCTGGCCTTTAGGAGTTGAATACTGTAGCCTTAGCAAACTGTCTGGCGCGAAGCATGCACTTTAGTTGTTAAAAGTTCTGGCTCTTAACTGGGTGTGGTGGCTCACACCTGTAATTCCAGCACTTTGGGAGGCTGAGGGAGGCAGATCACTTGAGGTCAGGAGTTTGAGAACAGCCTGGCCAACATGGTGAAACCCTGTCTCTACTAAAAATAAAAAAATTAGTTGGGCATGGTTGGCATGGGGGACGCCTGTAAAATCCCAGCTGCTTGGGTGGCTGAGGCAGAAGAATCGCTTGAACCCAAAAGGCAGAGGTTGCAGTGAGCCGAGATCCCACCACTGCACTCCAGCCTGGGCAACAGAGAGAGACTCTGTCTCAAAATAAATAAATAAATAAATAAAAAAGTTCTGGCCCCAGTGACAGGCAGCTAGCTGTGTGACCTTGGTTAGTTTCCTCACCCTCTCTGAACTTCCGTTTTTAGGAGGTTTAGGGAAATAGGAGTAAAGTCTACCCTACTGACTTGCTGAAAGGGTTAGATGTGAAAGTCCAAAGAAAGCATTTGGACAGGGCCCACGGCGAGGGTTCCATAAAGAGCTGGCTCTTCCCTTCCTCTCTCAGCCCTTACTCCAAGGCATGTCACTTGTGGGGTGACAATCAGGTGATGCCACAGGACAACAGAGCAGCAGCTCTGACAACCCACATGTTCCTGCAGGGCTGGGCAAGGCCTCCTGAGCAACCGCTCAGCTCAGCCTGGCACCCATGACCAGGCAGAGGATTCAGACTCAGAGCAGAGCCTTGGGCCTTAGCTGGAGGGGCAACTGAGTATGTGTTGCAGGGGGACCGACAGCCCCTCCTTAGCTTGCATTGGTTCCCAGACTGGCAACATGATCGTCCCCTTGACCCCGAGAGGGAACAACTGCACTGGGGCCATCCTGTGACTTGCATCCCTCACACAGGGCCTGTTTAACCTTGAGCAGCTGCTGTGACCACAGCCAACAGCTGGGCCCCACTGGGCCATAAATCACTGGTGACACTAAACAGGTAGTGTGGCCAGCGGCTGTTCCTAGCCATGGAGGGGTGGGCTAGGGGAGCAGGCGGGGCTTAGAACTCACTCCCCCATAATCCCCACCCATGGGACTCAAGCCAGTGGTGGCTTTGTGTCTGGCTTTGAATCATCGCTGGACAAAGGCTTCCCTCAACAACCAGAGGTCTGTAGACTCCACAGCAGTGTGGACTTGCAGAGGATGGACACACGGATAAGCCAAGTTGGAAACTGTCAGAGAAAGTCTGAAATAGGCTGGGTGCGGTGGCTCACACCTGTAATCCCAGAACTTTGGGAGAATGAGGCAGGCGGATCACCAGGTCAGGAGATTGAGACCATTCTGGCTAACATGGTGAAATCCCATCTCTACTAAAAATACAAAAAATTAGCCGGGCCTGGTGGCACGTGCCTGTAATCCCAGCTACTCAGGAGGCTGAAGCAGGAGAATTGCTTGAACCCAGGAAGCAGAGGTTGTGGTTAGCTGAGGTCATGCCATTGCACTCCAGCCTGGGAGACAAGAGCAAGACTCTGTCTCAAAAAAAAAAAAGAAAGAAAGAAAGAAAGTCTGAAATAAAGCCACTGTAGCCACACTACAGGATCGCGGGGACAAGCCTGTGCCTTCTGCATCCATCTTGCCTCTGCCTTTACTGTGAAATCGGCATGAGCAGGAAGCACTAATCCGACAGATTCCACTAATGCTCAAAACACATGCTCCAAGCCCGGGCCCGCCCCCTGGCCAGCCACAGCCCGCAGCCCTCTGGCCACTAGGCAGAGGCCCGGAAAGCAGAGCTAAAGGGAATCGGAAACACAGCCGGAGGGAAAGGGAGCTGAGGCGCAGCAGGAGGCAGCTGGATTCTTCTCTTATCTGATGAAAGTGGATTCCAGGCAGTTCATCCACGTGTTTACTGCTCCTATGCGATTCGCCTAGAAATGTCGGTAATGGCATTTTCTCTTTAATATCATAATAGGCACCAGAAAGGAGAATAGCATTAATGGTTATGTTGTCATTAGGTACGTAAAGGTAAAAAAAAAATTGATGAGTGTGTGTGTGTGTGTGTGTGTGAAAATAAAAGTGTATGTCAACTAGTTGCTCACAACTGTCAGCACCTGTTTACACCTTTCTCTCTCTCTCTCTTTTTTTGAAACAGAGTCTTATTTGTTGCCCAGGCTGGAGTGCAGTGGTGAAATCTCAGCTCACTGCAGCCTACGCCTCCTGGGTTCAAGCAATTATCTTGTCTCAGCCACCCTAGTAGCTGGGATTAGCAGTGCACCACCACGCCTGGCTAATTTTGTATTTTTAGTAGAGACTGGGTTTCACCATATTGGCCAGGCTGGTCTTGAACTCCTGAGTTCAAGTGATCCACTGCCTCAGCCTCTCAAAATGCTAGACTTACAGGTGTGAGCCACCAGGCCTATGTTTACATCTTGAAAAAGCTGGAAAGAAAAGTGCAAAGGGGGCTGGGCGCGGTGGCTCAAGCCTGTAATCCCAGCACTTTGGGAGGCCAAGGCGGGTGGATCACGAGGTCAAGAGATCGAGACCATCCTGGTGAACATGGTGAAACTCCATCTCTACTAAAAATACAAAAATTAGCTGGGCATGGTGGCACACGCCTGTAATCCCAGCTACTCAGGAGGCTGAGGCAGGAGAATTGCCTGAACCCAGGAGACGGAGGTTGCGGTGAGCCGAGATTGTGCCATTGCACTCCAGCCTGGGTAACAAGAGTGAAACTCCGTCTCAAAAAAAAAAAAAAAAAAAGAAAAAAGAAAAATGCAAAGGGAATGTAGTTGTTTTAGGATGCTGGGAGATGCTGGGATGATTTGATTTTAATTGTTCTTGGCAAATCTAATCTATGGGGTCAGGACAATGGCAGCCCTGGGGGTATTGGTGACTGGAAGGGTTTTTGGAGATTCCGATGGATCCAGATGTGAGTTACAGGGGTGTGTTCACATGATTTGCCAAGCTGAACACTTGTGATTTGTGTACTATTCTGTGTTGCCGCTGTAATAAAACGTTTACTTTAACAGATGTTTGTGAATGATATAGTTTTTGTTTGTTTGTTTGTTTTGTTTTTTTGAGGCTGTCTTGCTCTGTCACCCAGGCTAGAATGCAGTGGCACAATCTCGGCTCACTTCAACCTTTGCCTCCCAGGTTCAAGTAATTCTCCTGCCTCAGCCTCCTGAGTAGCTGGGATTACAGGCGCTCACCATCACGCCTGGTTAATTTTTGCATTTTTAGTAGAGACAGAGTTTTACCATCTTGGCCAGGCTGGTCTGAAACTCCTGACCTCGTGATCCACCCACCTCAGCCTCCCAAAATGCTGGGATTACAGGTGTGAGCCACCTTTCCCAGCCATGAACGATACCTTTTTTTGTAAACAACTGAAAATATTTCCAAAGAAACTCAAAAGGTGAAAGGAACTTTAGGATTACCTAATCCAATTCCATTGCTGTACTGAGGAAGAAATGAAGGGTCAAAGAGAAACCAGTTACTGCATTGTATATTTCGAAATAGCTAAAAGAGGCCAGGCATGGTGGCTTATGCCTGTAATCCCAGCAGTTTGGGAGGCTGAGGTGGGAGGATCACTTGAGCCCAGGAGTTCAAGACTAGCCTGGCCAACATTGTGAGTCTCTGTCTCTACAAAAAAAATAAAAGAATTAGGTGGGTGTAGTGGCACATGCCTGTGGTTCCAGCTACGTGGGAAGCTGAGGTGGGAGGATCACTTGAGCTGAGGAGTCTGAGGTTATAATTGCACCACTGCACTCCAGTATGGGTGTCTCCAAGGAAAAAAGAAAGAAACCGCCTTACCATTGTTCTTGTGCGACTCTGCCCCAAGAACCACCACAGAGACTTCTATACAACCTGCCAGAGATAGTCTGTGTGCTAAACGTGCTTTTTTTTTTTAAGCCAAATTTAGCAGTGGGAATTGTATATCAACTTTAGTGACACTGATATTAATAAGTTCTGATAACCCTCTATCATCAGACCAGCCTTTTTTGTTTCTTATTTACACAAAGGGAAACTTGCTTTACATACCTTGCTGCTAACTTATAACACACTGAAGACGCTTCATATCAATTCACTTAACTCCTGTCCCCACTCTTTTTAAAGACTAGAGAATGCTCCTTTGTGTGGACTATCGAAACAAACCCCTATTAGGGGACATTTATAATAGATCATTTCTAATCAGTCAGTATTACATCACTGTTGCCATAGACAAAACATTTTTATGTTATTTTGTACACATTTAAGGAAATTGTACAGTAACTTGTTAGAAGTGGAATTAGAGTTACACAAACAAATCTATTTTAAATTTAGTAAATATTGCCATATTGCTACCCACAAGCAGTACCATTTTACAGACTCATAAGCAAGGTATGGGAGCACCTGTTTACCTACACTGTTGTAACATAACAGTATCAAATGCTTTGGACTTTGCCAATCTGATAGATTTAAAATGACATGTCAGGGATGGACGCAGTAGCTCGCTTCTGTAATCCCAGGACTTTGAGAGGCTGAGGCAGGTGGATCACTTGAGGTTAGGAGCTTGAGACCAACCTGGCCAACATGGTAAAAAAAACCCGACTCTACTAAAAAAATTCAAAAATTAGCTGGGCATGATGACATTTGCCTGCAATGCCAGCTACTGAGGAGGCTGACGAAGAGAATCACTTGAACCTGGGAGGCGAAAGTTGCAGTGAACTGAGATTGTGCCAGTGGACTGCAGCCTGGGGAACAGAGAGAGACTCTGTCTCAATCAATCAATCAATCAATCAATCAATCAAATAAAGTGACATGTCAGACTAACTATAACTCACCTTTCTCCTATTATGAGGGAGCCTGAATGTTTTTTTCATTTGTTTGACTCATTTGTGTTTCCACTAATGAGAACTCCTTTGTTCATTTTTTAATTCCATTTTTGTATTCGGTTGTTGATTTTTGTATCATTATCATCAACTTTTTTTTTTTTTTAAAGAAACCCTTTTGCATGATCTGGGCTCTACATTATCAAGTTTTAAAATAAAATTCAAAATATTATTATTATTTGAAACAGGGTCCTACTCTGTCACCTAGGCTGGCGGGCAGTGGCATGATCAAGGCTCACTGCCAGCCTTTACCTCCTGGGCTTAACTGATCCTCCTACATTAGCCTCCCAAGTAGCTGGGACTACAGGCAGGCACAACCATGCCCAGCTCATTTTTCGTGTGTGTATTTTTTAAGGGTTTTGGTGTGTTAGCCTAGGCTGGTCTCGAAATCCTGAGCTCAGGCAGTCTGCCTACCTCAGTCTCACAAAGTGCTGGGATTACAGGGGTGAGCCACTGTGCCCACTAGAAAATATAATTTTAAACATTTATTAAAAGTAGGTGGGCCAGGCACAGTGGCTCACGCCTATAATCCCAGCACTTTGGGAGGCGGAGGCGGGCAGGCAGATCAGGAGGTCAAGAGATGGAGACATCCTGGCCAACACAGTGAAACCTTGTCTCTACTAAAAATACAAAAAATTAGCTGGGCATGGTGGCACATGCCTGCAGTAACAGCTACTCAGGAGGCTGAGGCAGGAGAATCACCTAAACCTGGAAGGCGGAGGTTGCAGTGACCTGATATCACGCCACTGAACTCCAGCCTGGGCGACAGAGGGAGACTCCATCTAAAAAAAAAAAAAAGTCCGGGTGTGGTGGCTCATGCCTGTAATCCAAGCATTTTGGAGGCCAAGGCAGGCAGATCACCTGAGGTTGGGAGCTCAAGACTAGCCTGACCAACATGGTGAAACCCCATCTTTTTTTTTTGAGACAGAGTTTCGCTGTTGTTACCCAGACTGGAGTGCAATGGCACGATCTCGGCTCACTACAACCTCCCCCTTCTGGGTTCAAGTAATTCTCCTGCCTCAGCCTCCTGAGTAGCTGGGACTACAGGCGCGCACCACCATGCCCAGCTAATTTTTGTATTTTTAGTAGAGACGGGGTTTCACCATGTTGACCAGGATGGTCTCGATCTCTTGACCTCGTGATCCACCCGCCTCAGCCTCCCAAAGTGCTGGGATTATAGGTGTGAGCCACCACGCCCGGCCGAAACCGTGTCTTAAAAAAAAAAAAATGGGCTGGGCGTGGTGGCTCATGCCTGTAATCCTAGCACTTTGGGAGGCCAAGGAAGGCAGATTGCCAGAGCTCGGGATATATATACACACATATATGTATATTTAATTTATAAAATAGTTTACACACACATATATATTTAATTTATAAAGTATTTACACACCTAATAATAGCATAATAGTATCTCTTATTTATTGAATACTTCCTGGGTCCTAGGCGTTGGGCTAAATAATCTTAGGGCATGTGAAATTTCTAGTTCTGCTTTTGCACATAGCAGGAGTGGTTTTTCATGTTGCGACATTGTCTTTATGATTCTCATTTGCAATGGCTGCTTAGCATTCTGTCAAGATACTGTGTATAGTATCATGCAATTAGCTGTTTGCTGTTAGCTTTCTTTCTTTCTTTCTTTCTTTCTTTCTTTCTTTCTTTCTTTCTTTCTTTTCTTTTTCTGAGATAGAGTCTTGCTCTGTCTCCCAGGTTGGAGGGCAATGGGACAATCTTAGCTCACTGCAAACTTCACCTCTGGGTTCAAGCAATTCTTCTGCCTCAGCCTCCTTAGTAGCTGGGATTACAGGTGCTTGCCACTGCGTGCAGCTAATTTTTGTATTTTTTTTAGTAGAGATGGGGTTTCGCCATCTTGGCCAGACAGGTCTCAAACTCCTGACCTCAGGTGATCTATCTGCCTCGGCCTCCCAGACTGCTAGGATTATAGGCCTGAGCCACCACACCCAGCCAAACTGTTAGCTTTCAGTTGCTCCTATTGCCTTTAATTTCTTTCTTTTTCTTTTTTTGAGATGGATTCTTGCTCTTGTTGCCCAGGCTGGAGTGCAGTGGTGCAATCTTAGCTCACCACAACCTCTGCCTCCTGGGTTCATGTAATTCTTCTGCCTCCTGAGTAGCTGGGATTACAGGCATGCTCCACCACGCCCAGTCAATTTTTGTATTTTTAGTAGAATAGGGGTTTTTCCATGTTGGTCAGGTTGGTTTCGAACTTTCAGCCTCAGGTAATCTGCCCATCTTGGCATCCCTAAGTGCTGGGATTATAGGCATGAGCCACTGCACCCAGCCTTGCCTTATAATTTCTGAGTAGTAATCCCTTCAAATTGTTTTTTTGTTTTTTGAGACGGAGTTTCGCTCTTGTTACCCAGGCTGGAGTGCAATGGCAAGATCTTGGCTCACCGCAACCTCCGCCTCCTGGGTTCAGGCAATTCTCCTGCCTCAGCCTCCCGAGTAGCTGGGATTACAGGCATGTGCCACCATGCCCAGCTAATTTTTTGTATTTTTAGTAGAGACGGGGTTTCACCATGTTGACCAGGATGGTCTCGATCTCTTGACCTCGTGATCCACCCGCCTCGGCCTCCCAAAGTCAAATTGTTTTTAAAAAGTTAAATTATTACATTTCATCATTGCATTGCAAACAGCACTTTTTTTTTTTTTTTTTGAGACAGAGTCTCACTCAGTTGCCCAGCCTGGAGTGCAGTGGCACCATCTCAACTCACTGCAACCTCCACCTCCTGGGTTCAAGCGATTCTCCTGCCTCAGCTTCCAGAGTAGCTGGGACTACAGGCACCTGCCACCATGCCTGGCTAATTTTTGTATATCTAGTACAGACAAGGTTTCATCATACTGGCCACTTTGGTCTCGAACTCCTGATCTCAAGTGATCTGCCCACCTTGGCCTCCCAACCTACTGGAATTACAGGCATGAGCCACCATCCCCAGTCGGCATCTTACTTTAAGGTCAAATAGACATCCTTTAAATATTTATAAATATTCAATCATTGTAATTAAAATGTTTGTCTTACAAAACAGAGGAAAATAAAATAGTAAATAGTAGCTATAAAGGGTATACAGACACAGATATACACACACATATATAGACACATACACACATATACACCCATATATATACATACACATACACACATATAAAAATATACATACATATATACACACATACATATACACACACACATACACATATTAAACATTCATTACCTACCAAAGGTTCTTTTTTTTAAAGACGGGGTTTTACCATGTTAGTCAGGCTGGTCTTGAACTCCCGACCTCAGGTGATCCACCCCTCTTGGCCTTCAAAGTGCTTGGATTATAGGCGTGAGCCACCATGCCCGGCCTCAAAGTTTCCTTTTTATTTGGTGTTTATAAATTCTGTACCATTGAATTCCCTTTCCCCACAAAAAGTACATAGAAATGGTCATTCGGTGGCTGTGAAGATTCACACTTCCTCTTAAGTTCAGCTCTTTCTCTCTCTTTAAATCTTTCCCACATGATTTAAAATTGTGGACACAAAATTATATCTGGGAGCTAAATGATAAGAACCTATGAACATAAAGAAGGAAACAACAGACCGAACACAGAGGCTCATGCCTGTAATCCTAGCACTTTGGGAGGCCGGGGCAGGGTGGATCACCTGAGGTTGGGAGTTCGAGACCAGCCTGACCAATACAGAGAAATCCCATCCCTACTAAAAATACAAAAATTAGCTGGACATGGTTGCACATGCCTGTAATCCCAGCTACTCAGGAGACTGAGACAGGAGAGTCGCTTGAACCTGGGAGGTGGAAGTTGTGTTGAGCCAAGATTGGACCACTGTACTCCAGCCTGGATGACAAGAGCAAAAACTCCATCCCCCCACAAAAAAAAAAAAAGAAAAATCAAGATACACTTTTTGATGTAACGTTGTCTTCAACATCATGAAAAGCAAATGCAGGCCGGGCGCAGTGGCTCACTCCTGTAATCCCAGCACTTTGGGAGACCGAGGGGGTGGATCATGAGGTCAAGAGATAGAGACCATCCTGGGCAACATGGTGAAACCCCATCTCTCCTAAAAATACAAAAATTAGCTGGGCATGGTGGTGCGCACCTGTAATCCCAGCTACTCGGGAGGCTGAGGCAGGAGAATTGCCTGAACCCAGGAGGCGGAGGTTGCGGTGAGCCGAGATCGCGCCATTGCACTCCAGCCTGGGTAACAAGAGGGAAACTCCGTCTCAAAAAAAAAAAAAAAAGCAAATGCAATTTCCTTTCACATAGCATAAACTGTAATGAAAGAATTATTTTTGACCCATTCTACCTTTAAAAGTATGATAAAGCCAGGTATAGTGGCATGCACCTGTAGTTCTAACAACTTGGGAAGTTGAGGCAGGTGGGTTGTGTGAGCCCAGGAGTTTGAGGTTATAGGGTTCTATGAACAGCCACTGTACTCCAGCCTGGGCAACGTAGTGAGACCCCATTACTAGAAAAAAAAGAAAAATTAAATAAATAAATGTATGATAATGAAATTGAAGTGACCACCACTGCATATGTTTATGCATGTGAAAGCTTATTTTCTTTACTCTTCTAAGTTAACAAATTATTTACTCTTTATATAATGTCAGTTGAGAAAAGGGACATCTAAAATTACACATACAATATGACTGCAATGACATTAAAAAAGTAAAATACAGGCTCATGCAGTGGCTCACACCTATAATCCCAGCACTTTGGAAGGTCAAGGAGTGCAAATCATGAGGTCAGGAGATTGAGACCATCTTGGCTAACAAGGTGAAATCCCGTCTCTATTAAAAATACTAAAAAAGTAGCTGGGCGTGGTGACACGCGCCTGTAGTCCCAGCTACTTGGGAGGCTGAGGCAGGAGAATCGCTTGAACCTGGGAGGTAGAGGTTGCAGTGAGCCAAGATCACACCACTGCACTTCAGCCAGCCTGGACAACAGAGTGAGACTCTGTCTCAAAAAAAAAAAAAAGAAAAGAAAAGAAAAGAAAAGAAAAAATTTTGTGTATTTCTTTTTAGTCTTATTATTATTTTATTAGGTGAAGTAAAATACACCTAATAAAATAATAAGAAGACTAAAAAGAAATACACAAAATCAAGTTATATGTCACCAAATTTTCCATAATGTAATATTAGTTTTACAAAGAAAAAGAAGTTATTGCATAATACTCTCATTTGGGGGCTGGCACATTAGAAAATAATTTCCGGGGCCCATTATGTACAGTGGTTCCCCCCAAACTACATCCTCCCCTTGGAAATAGAGCCTTAACTGATTGGCTTCACCCATGTTCTGTCAATGTCAGAATTCAGCCAAGGCAGTGTGTCTTTTTACCTTTCAGTAAAACAGAGAAGGGCTGGGCACGGTAGCTCATGCCTGTAATCCCAGCACTTTGAGAGGCTGAAGCAGGTGAATTGCTTGAGTCCAGCAGTTTGAGACCAGCCTGGGCAACGTGGTGAGACCGCATCTCTACAAAAATTACAAAAATTAGCTGAGCATGGTGGTGTGTGCCTTAGTCTCAGCTACTCGAGAGGCTGAGGTGGGAGGATTGCTTGAGCCCGGGGGGCAGAGTTTGCAGTGAGCTGATGTCACATATGGACAGGGACTGATCTGAAATGAGCTTCTCCTGTTGCAGGTTAAGGCTCATCTGCTGCAGGAACAGGCATCCGAATGATAATCACGTGAACAGTGTGAACCAGCCCCACAAAAACATCCTTGTATCCACTGGTTGTGATTACAGGTAACTCCCCACTCCCAAGTTGTAGGCTCATTGTTTTATTTAAAAAGTAGGCAGGCATAATCCCAGCACTTTGGAAGGTGGAGGGAGGCGGATCACCAGGTTAGGAGTTTGAGACCAACATGGTAAAACCCGGTCTCTACTAAAAATTCAAAAATTAGACAGGCCTGGTGGTGTGCACCTGTAATCCCAGCTACTCAGGAGGCTGAGGCAGGAGAATCGCTTGAATCCAGGAGGCAGAGGTTACAGTGAGCTGAGATTGTGCCACTGCATTCCAGCCTTGGTGACAGAGCGAGACTCTGTCTCAAAACAAAACAAAAAAAGCAGGCAGGTGAGGAGAGCTGTGCGATGAAGAGATGAGTTCCTGAGTGTGAAGGAGGGGAGGATTCTGAGGAAAAAAAACGGAAAACACGAGCAAACAAACACAAAGGAGTAGGAGCTCTGCTCACTGTGACACGCGAGCCCTCAGAGTGATATGACCTGATTTTTGTGTAGGGAGGTCCCTGATCTTCTGCTCTTCCTTCTGCACCTGAATGGGTTCAGCCAAGTACAGACAAAACTCTGTAGGCCCCAACACCCTTGAGTCAAACTGCCCCTCTAAGCAGGGCTGCTTCCAGTCATGTGGGATGAGTTATTCACGGTACTCATGAATGGATGCTTAATATTGAAGTAAATTGGCCGGATACATTAGCTCATGTCTGTAATCCCAGCACTCTGGGAGACCCAAGGGGGCGGGTCACCTGAGGTCGGGAGTTTGAGACCAGCCTGACCAATATTGAGAAACCCTGTCTCCACTAAAAATACAAAATTAGCTGGGCATGGTGGCACATGCCTGTAATCCCAGCTACTTGGAACGCTGAGGCAGGAGAATTGCTCTAACCCGGGAGGCAGAGGTTGCGATGAGCTGAGATCATGCCATTGCACTCCAGCCTGGGCAATAAGAGTGAAACTTTGTCAGAAAGAAAGAAAGAGAGAGAGAGAGAGAGAGAGAGAGAGAGAGAAAGAAAGGAATCACCTTGTTTCTTCCCAGAGAGCCTCACCTTAAACACCCAGATCTTTCTTTTTCTTTTTCTTTCTTTTTAAATTTTTTTCTTAAGCTGGAGTCTCACTCTGTCGCCCAGGATGGAGTGCAGGACTTCAGTGGCGTGATCTTGGCTCACTGCAACCTCCGTCTCCCAGGTTCAAGCGATTCTCCTGCGTCAGCCTCCCGAGTAGCTGAGATTACAGGTGCACACCACCATGCATGGCTAATTTTTTTTGTATTTTTATTAGAGGTGAGGTTTTGACATTTTGGCCAGGCTGGTCTTGAATTTCTGACCTCAAGTGATCTGCCAGCCTTGGCCTCCCAAAGCGCTGGGATTACAGGCAAAAGCCACTGTGCCTGGCCCCTTTTTCTTTCTTTTTTTTTTTTTTGACACAAGGTCTCCCTTTGTCACCAGGCTACAGTGTATTGGCATGATCATGGCTCACTACAGCCTTGACCTCCTGAGCTAAAGTGATCCTCCCACCTCAGCCTCCTGAGTAGCTAGGACCATAGGTGCGCCCAACCACTCCAGGCTAATTTTTTTATTCCTTTTTTTTTTTTAAAGAGATGAGGTCTCCCTGTGTTGCCCAGACTGGTCTGAAACTCCTGGGTTCAAGCAATCCTCCCACCTTGACCTCCCAAAGTCCTGGGATTATAGGGTGAGCCACAGCTCCCGGCTATAGGACTTTTTTTTTTCTTAGAGAGACGAGGGTCTCACTATGTTGCCCAGGTTGGTCTCAAACTCCTGGGCTCAAGCCATCCTCCTGCCTTGGGCTCCCAAAATGCTGGGATTACAGGTGTGAGCCAGTGCACCCAGCCTGTGGCCATAGGATTTTGTTTTACTACATAAACCTAGGTTGCAGGTTGCAGCTTCCTCCCTGTTATTTTATCACTAACAAATTTGGTTGCCAAGGCAACCATGCAGCAGTGTAATCCACCCATCCACCTAGGCTGGCGTCAGTGGCAGGAGTTTGGGGTTGAATTTGGTGTTTTGTAAATTCTGTACCATTAAATTCCCTTCCCCCACAAAAAGCATGTAGAAATGGCCATTCAGTGGCTGTGGAGATTCACACTTTCCCCTTCTAGGTCCAATTCTTTCTCTCTCTTTTTTCTCCCTGCCTATCAGACATGTGCAGAATGCCCATCAGAGAAAGAGTAAGAATGAGGAGTACGTCATGTCCAGAAAGAGGGTCAGCAGGGAGCAGTGCCTCGGGAGGATCTCATATTAAAACCTGGAATTGTAGTCTCTACAGAAAAGTTGGAAGATCTGGCAACATTGGGCCCATGGTTCCTCAGGAGGCCTCTTCTTTGTGGTAAGTAGCAATGACTCCCTCCAGACAGGAGCCACATTCTCCACCAATCAGTGCTTCTCATTTACATTTTTGTGCCTGGTCCTGGCAGACATCTTCGTGGATGCTTTTTTTCTTAGTCTTCATTATTATTATTATTATTTGAGATGGAGTCTCCCTGTGTCACCCAGACTGGAGTGTAATGGTGCAATCTTGCCTCACTGCAACCTCTGCCTCCCAGGATCAAGTGATTCTCCTGCCTCAGCCTCCCAAGTAGCTGGGACTATAGGCGTGCACCACCACACCTGGCTAATTTTTGTATTTTTAGTAGAGACAAGGTTTTCCCATGTTGGCCAGGCTGGTCTCGAACTCCTGGTCCACCCACCTTGGCCTCCCAAAGTGCTGGGTTTTCAGGCATGAACCACCATGCCCAGTCTATTTATTTATTTTTTAGAAAGCAGATCTTGCTCTGTTGCCCACCTAGAGTGCAGTGGTGCCATGGTAGCTCACCTGCAGCCTTGAACTCCCAGGCTCAAGTGATCCTCCTGCCTTAGCCTCCTGTGTAGCTGAAACCACAGGCACATGCCACCATGCCCAGCTAATTTTATTTTATTTTTTTTAGAGATAGAGGTCTCACTATGTTGCCCAGGCTTGTCTCAAACTCCTGGGCTCAAGTAATCCTCTCGCCTAAGCCTCCCAAAGGTTTAGGATTGGGATTACAGGTAGGAGCCACCTTACCCCACCTTAGAAAGCTTTTAATTCGCTAATTCTCAACTTGAGGGATGATGGAAGGATATTCTCTTAAAGATTTTTCAAATTACTTTTGTATACTGAAAAGACTCTAACACAACTCCTTCTTACCATCCTTCCTCCCACCCTCTCCCCACGCACAATGAAAATCACTTTCAGAAGCCCAAACCCCACTCCTGCCACAGTCAGTACTGAAGTATGGAACTTCCACCCACAAAGTTTCCCTGATCCTGCAGGAAAATGTGTAGACGCTGACTCTCATTTCACACAACAGCATTCACACCCCCTCCTCTCCAACCATCACTAGAGTTTGTAACCTAGCAACACAGCATCCATTGGGGTAGCAACCTCTCGCCAATTCATTCATCCCTTCAGTAGACATTGAGTGAGCTGCTCCCACGCCTGGGATAGGCAAGCACTCAGAAAAGATTTGTTGAATGAATGAATGAAGACACAGGGATGAATGAGGCCCCAAAGGAGGTCATACTCTGGAAAGGAGAAAAACAGACTAAAGGCCGGGCGTGGTGGCTCACGCCTGTAATCCCAGCACTTTGGGAGGCCAAGGCAGGTGGATCACCTGAGACCAGCCTGGCCAACAGGGTGAAAACCTGTTTCTACTAAAAATACAAAAAGTAGCTGGTTATGGTGGTGTATGCCTGCTACTCTGGAGACTGAGGCAGGAGAATCACCTGAACCCAGGAGATGGACACTGCGGTGAGCCAAGATCATGCCATTGCACTCCAATCTGGATGACAGAAGGAGACATCGTCTCAAAAAAAAAAAAAAAAAAAATGCAGACTGAAAAAAAGTTTGTAGACCAGGCTCAGTGGTTCATGCCTGTAATCCTAGCACTTTGGGAGGCCAAGGTGGGTGGATCACCTGAGGTCAGGAGTTCAAGACCAGGCTGGCCAAGATAGTGAAACCCTATCTCTACTAAAAATTAAAAAAATTAGCTAGGTGTGGTGGCAGGCGTCTGTAATTCCAGCTACTCTGGAGACTGAGGCAGGAGAATTGCTTGAACCTGGGAGGTGGAGGTTGCAGTGAGTGAGATCGTGTCACTGCACTCTAGCCTAGGTAACAAGAGTGAAACTCGGTCTCAAAAAAAAAAAAAAAAAAGGTTGTAATACAGCACTTAACAGATGTATGTATGCATATGTAAATTGCAGGGGAGAAGTTACCATCCTGTTTAGGAAAGTCAAGGAAAGGAGAGGGGACAGTTCCATTAGGTCTTTTTTTTGTTCGTTTTTGAGATAGAGTCTCAATTTGTCCCGGAGGCTGGAGTGTTGGTGGTGCAATCTTCTATCTCAGCTCATTGCAACCTCCACCTCCTGGATTCAAGTGATTCTTGTTCAAGTGATTCTCTCAGCTTCCGAAGGAGCTGGGATTATGGGTTTGTGCCACCATGCTCGACTAATTTTTGTATTTTTAGTAGAAATGGGATTTCATCTTGGCCAGGCTGGTCTCGAACTCCGAAACTTAGGTGATCCACCTGCCTCAGCCTCCCAGAGTGCTGGGATTACAGGCGTGAGCCACTGCGCCCAGCCTCAGTTAGGTCTTGTGAGAGGAGCAGGATTTGTCACATAAGAAGGAACAGGAGGAACAATGCTCCAGGGAAAAAGAAGATCACGAGCAAAGGCCCCAGGTATGGAACTGTAAGGTATGTCTGAAGCCATGGGGAAGTTCAATCAGTGGAGCAGACGGTACATCAAGATTCCTAAACTCTATACCCATGAAGGTTCAAGCCAGTCCTAAAGTTAGGCAGCAAGGTCAGAGTTCTCTCGAAACAAAGGACAGACATCCCAGCATGGTGCACTCTAGCACAGGCACTGGCCTGCCCTGATCAGTAGTGTTTGCAGAATAAAGCTGAAGATGGAAGAGAGACAGAGGGGAACGGATGGGTGCCATGGCTCATGCCTATAATCCTAGCATTTTGGGAAGCTGAGGTGGGAGAATTACTTGAGCCCAGGGGTTTGAGACCAGTCTGGGTAACATAGTGAGACACCATCTGTTAAAAAAAAAAAGAAAGAAAGAAAAAGAAAAAAATTAGCTGGGTGTGGTGGCACATGCCTGTAACCCCAGCTACTCAGAAGGCTGAGGTGGGAGGATCACTTGAGCCTTGGAAGTTGAGGCTACAGTGAGCCATGATTAGGCCATTATGCCACGGCACTCCAGCCTGGGCAAGACAGCAAGACCCTGTCTCAAAAAAAAAAAAAAAAAAAAAAAGGGAAAAGAAACCAGTGTCAACAGGAGCCATCCACATGCCAGGCATGGTCAAGATGCAGAAAGCAGCTACCACCCATAGAACTGGGAAAACAGCCAGGCACGGTGGCTCATGCCTATAATTTCAGCACTTTGGGAGGCCAAGACAGGTGGATCACCTGAGGTTGGGAGTTCAAGACCAGCCTGGCCAACGTGGCGAAACCCTCTCCTTACTAAAAATACAAAAAATTAGCCAGGCATGGTGGCAGGCGCCTATAATCCAAGCCACTTGGGAGGCTGAGGTATGAGCATCGCTTGAACTCGGGAGGTGAAGGTTGCAGTGAGCTGAGATTGCACCATTGCACTCCAGCCTGGGCAACAGGAGCAAAACTCCACCTCAAAAAAAAAAAAATGGAACTGGGAAAACAAAGGGAAGAGGCTGAGGTTACAGAACCTAAAAGCCTGGAAGAGCAGGTCCATGGAGCTGGAACCTAGACTTCTGACAAAGCTGTGTGTGACAGGCACTGTGTCACCTCTCCCATGTTCTTGTAGCACTCACCATTCCTGTGCACCCCAAGGTTTCCTGCTGCTTGCACCAAGACTCGAATCCTGAAGGGCTTTCTCTGGCCACAGGAGCATGCTCAGCCTGAACCTGGGCAGTAAGGAGGTGGCAGAAAGTTATCGTTCCCAGGAGAAGCCCCAAATAATGAAAGGTGGGAGTTAGTGAATAATGTCAAGCATCTTCCTCCTAGAATTGAACAATCCTGAGGAGTGCTCTACACCACCTAGATGCGAGCTGAGATGAGACTCTAATTGTCAAAAGGGTAACACTCATTAATGGAACCTCGGCCAGGTGTAGTGGCTCATGCCTGTAATCCCAGCACTTTGGGAGGCTGAGGCGGGAGGATCACGAGTTCAAGACCAGCCTAGCCAACATGGTGAAACCCCCGTCTCTACTAAAAAATACAAAAATGAGCCAAGCGTGGTGGTGAGCACCTGTAATCCCAGCTACTTGGGATGCTAAGGCAGGATAATTGCTTGAACCCGGGAGGCAGAGGTTGCAGTGAACCGTGATGGAGCCACTGCACTCCAGCCTGGGTGACAAGATGAGACTCTGTCTCAAAAAGTAAAAAATAAAAGCCTGGGTGTGGTGGCTCACACCTGTAATCCCAGCACTTTGTGAGGCCAAGGTAGGCGGATCATGAGGTCAGGAGTTCGAGACCAGCCTGGCCAACATGGTGAAACCCCGTCTGTACTAAAAATACAAAAAGTTAGACAGGTGTGGTGGCGGTCACCTGTAATCCCAGCTACTGGGGAGGCTGAGGCATGAGAATCACTTGAACCCGGGAGGCAGAGGTTGCAGTGAACCAAGATCACACCACACCATTGCACTTCAGTCTGGGCGACAGTGTGAGACTCAGTCTCAATAAATAAATAAATATATATATATATATATATCAACCACACCCAGCATATCAGCTTTCTTACCATTTCTGGCACACTTTCCCACTACTCAAGTAGTGTTTCCAGGAATTATTTTTTTTTGAGACCGAGTCTCACTCTGTCACCCAGGATAGAGTACAGTGGCCTGATCTCGGCTCACTACCCCCTCTGCCTCCTAGGCTCAAGCAATTCTCGTGCTTCAACCTTCTGAGTAGCTGGGACTACAGGTGTGAGCTACCAGGCCCGGCTGGTTTTTATATTTTCAGTAGAGACAGGTTTCACCATGTTGGTCAGGCTGGTCTCGAACTCCGAGCCTCAGGTGGTCCACCTGCCTTGGTCTCCCAAAGTGTTGGGATTACAGGTGTGAGACACCATGCCCAGCCCTGGGGATCATTTTTGAAATAAGCCACCTGCTCTCAAATACTTGCCTGAGGATAAGCATTTGATGGAACCTAAAATGGGATCCTTTTGGTAGTGGCTCCAGAAAGCAAGCTCTCAGGATGCAGTTTTGGAACTGAATCATTAGCCAGCCAGATGGCAAGAAGGAGCCTGTTACTGATATTCAGATGGGTGGGGATAACCCTCAGCATGCGGCACCAGCAAAAAAAACACAAGGAAAAAGATAAAAAAAATAATAGGTTCGAGTCAGCCAAGTATCAACTCAGAGCCTCTGAGTCTCATCTTGGGTAGATAAGGATGGGGTACAGTTGGCAGAATATGCATTGGCTCAGGCCAACAGCTTGATCACCTGAAATATATGAGGGTAATAGTTACTGGAAGGACTGTGACCTGATTGGCCATTTTAACTGCCAACTCTTTATAAAAGCCCACTTTGGGAGGCAGAGGAGGGCAGATCGCTCGAGTCCAGGAGTTCGAGACCAGCTTGGGCAACATAGTAAAACCCTGTCTCTACTAAAAATACAAAAAATTAGCCAGGTGTGGTGTGTGCCTGTCATGTAGTCCCAGAGACCAGGGGTGCTGAGGTGGGAGGATCACTTGAGCCCAGGAGGTTGAGGCTGCAGTGAGCTGTGATCGTGCCACTGCACTCCAGCCTATGCGACAGAGTGAGGCCCTGACTCAAAAAAAAAAAAAAAAGAAAAGATAAGCTGGGCGTAGTGTCATGCACCTGTACTACTACTTGGGAGGTAGAGGCAGGAGGATCTCTTGAGCTCCGGGGTTTGAGGCTGCAGTGAACGAGGATCCAGCCACTACATTCCAGTCTGGGCAAAAGAGCAAGACCCAGGTTTTTTGTTTGTTTGTTTTTTGTTTTTTTCTAAAAAAAAAAAAAAAAAGCCCAAGAAAAAAATATCAAAATAATAGGCTCAAGTCAGCCAACTATTGACTCAGAGCTCACTGTGAAAGCCGGAAAGTCTCTCTGGAGGCATTTAAAGAGAGTCTTTTTTTTTTTTTTTTTTGAGACAGAGTTTCACTCTGTCACCCAGGCTGAAGTGCAGTGGTGTGATCTCGGCTACAACCTCCACCTCTCAGGTTCAGTTAACTGTCTGCCTCACCCTCCCAAGTAGCTGGGATTACAGGCGCCTGCCACCACGCCTGGCTAATTTTTTTTTTTTTTTTTGTATTTTTAGTAGAGACAGGGTTTCAAGATCTTGGCTAGGCTGGTCTTGAACTCCTGACCTAGTGATCCACCCACCTTGGCTTCCCAAAGTTCTGGGATTACAGGCGTGAGCCACCATGCCTGGCCTAAAGAGAGTCTTATCTCCTGTAGCCAGAAGATGGAGAGTGCTGAAACTCGCCCAAGATTTTAAGAGCAGAAGAGTTACAAAGGAGGTCGAATTCACAGCCTCAGCATGGTGTCACTGTGCTAGGGACTGGAGGGGAATGGGTCTCTGAGACCTAGAAGCAACATTTGAGTAGATGAAGCTGAGAACCTTAAAATTTCAGATTCACTTTAACCATCTGGGACA